TCCTGCCCTCCCCTGCCCCCCCCTGCCCTCATTGCCAGATCAACAGCCTCAGATGCAAGGATACGTGCATACAGACATGGATATATTCAAACACACAAGCATTGATACAACACAAGTCGCACGCAAACATCCAGATATATACGTCCACACGCACATACAGGCACACAAACAAACACGAACTGACAGAAATATACCAAAAGATATATTCATACCTAAAATATATATTCAAAAACACACAAAAACACAAAAACAAACACACACACACAGACACACACACACACGCACACGCACACGCACGCACACACACATACACACGCACGCACGCACACACATACACACGCACGCACGTACACACATACACACGCACGCACGCACGCACACACATACACACGCACGCACGCACACACACATACACACGCACGCACGCACACACATACACACGCACGCACGCACGCACGCACATACACACGCACGCACGTACACGCACGCACGCACACATACACACGCACAGCTCACTAATCCCCCCCCTTAAGAAAACCTACAAAGAAGCCCATGAAACCCTCATGAACCCTTTCCTCTCTTCTTCCCTTCCTTCCTGCCTCTAGCGTCCTGCCCCTTCTCTTCCTCCTTTCCCTTTTCCTTTCCCTTTCCTTCTTCTTCCTCTCCTTCTCTTTCTCCTCGTCTTTCTCCTTTTCTTTCTTCTTGTTCTTCACTTTCGATTTCTTATTATCTTTATTATCTTTATTCGCCTTCTCCTTTTCTATCTCCTCCTTCGTAGACCCCCCCCCCTTCCTTCTCTCCACCCCCTCCCCTCCTCCCCACCCCCTTGCAACCACCCCCACCCCTTCCCCCCTCCCCCTCCTCCCCGCCCCCTTACACCCTTCCACACACTTCCCTCCCCCCACCCCCTTACCCCCGCCTCCTCCACTTTTCTCCCCTCCCCTCCTCCCTCCACCACCCCCTCCTCCCCTACCCCCACCCCCTCCCCTATTCCCCTCCCCTCCTCCCTCCATCACCCCTCCTCCCCTACCCCCTTACCCCCGCCCCCTCCCCTCCTCCCTCCACCACCCCTCCTCCCCTCCCCCCCCTTTTTTTTGAAACGCGCTCCTCCCCTCAATCCATAAAATCAGCTGTTGATTCAGATGTTCCTCATGGCGCACCATCACACTCGCAGGGCTGATCTCATTATATTAAAAAACGAAAAACTTGATTAAATTCACGTTGATTTAAGCGCGAAGACTGAAGTTCATTACTACTCGACAGAGGCTGAGAAGAAAAAAAATATTCCAGAAGTTTCTCCAAGTATGACCCATTTGTTGATTTGTTTGTTTGTCTGTTTTCATTTTTCTTCATCGCCTCGTTTCCTCGTAACCCGTAAAAACGTTCATTTTTTTAGTGTAATTGTATGTGAAAAATGTAAAACGCACGTATCCCTGAACGTGTAGAAATGCTGTCCGAGAGAGAAACAGTATACGTGCAAAAAGGCATTCTCAACTTGGCAATTTAAATAAATAAATAAATAAATAAATAAGTAGATAAATTAATTAATCTAAAAAATAATAATAATAATCTTTGGTCTGGACGCTTACGACTCTCCTCACGGACGAAAGGGAAGGGAAAAATACATCCGCTTTCCGTCTGCCGGATTCCAACAAATATCTATTTACATACTGCCAGATCCTAAATTTTCTTCGCGCCCAACGAACGAATGAAGATGGGCGACGCAGAGTGAAAATCCTCGACGTCAAAATAACGCAAATCTTTCTGAAAACTAAATGTCGCGTCTCAACATCCTTCAACATTTACGAAGGACTTACGGGTGTCCTTCCTCCATACAATAAAAAAAATCCACTTCCTCTGTAGGCCTATCACCCAACCCTGCGCCCAAGTCGGCTCTGCCAATTACATAATTAATGGGAAAAAAACGCCATTATCCAAGTATTGTCTGAAAACTGTCGTAACGACTGAGCGGAGCGCCGTATAACCGACTTCTAGGGAGAGGGGGGGGGGTCGCCAACGGAACGGCTCGCTCTCGTGACATGTTGCTTATTGAGTCACGATAATCATACTTTTTTGCCTCTTTCTGTTTTTGGCATGACTTTATTTCCACACATAAGGGAGAGAAGGGGAGACAGGGAGACTGAGTGAGGGAGAAGGTTGGGGGGGGGAGGTAGAGTTGGAGAGAGGAGAGTTGGGAAGAGGAAAGAGGAAAGGGGAGAAGGAGAGGGAGGAGGAGAAGAAAAAGAAAAAGAAAAAGAAGAAAAGAAGGAATAAAAAAATAAATAAATAAAATAAAAACAAAAAGAATTGCACTTAAAAAAATATTCTGCCCCTATGCCCAGCCAAAGAGGGTGACCATTACGCATACGCCTCATACACACCTCCGCAGTATTGGTTTACCATTTTTAAAGTCTAATGACTGGCAGGAGCACAGGGAGTGGGGTGGGAAGGCTAGGGGGATCCGTCCGCTTACTGAGCAACCGACGCACACGAACGGCGTCCGTCTGAATCGCATGGGCGTCCGCAGCGTACGTAGTGTCCGTTGTGCTTGATAATAAATATACACATATATATCGACGCCTAATAACGCCCACGCCAGAGCAATTGAAAAGCGCCCGTGCTTGAGGTGACGCGTGGGCGCCCTTACGTAAATATTGCTCGGGTCGATGATGGCAATGGTTGGAATTTAGAGTGAAAATAAGACTTAAATTAAGATAAATGGAAAGAAATTACAGCTAAATTAAGACAAATGAATAGAAAACAATGCAAAAGGACTATAACGACTAAATTATCGCGTGCCTCCAATTGTCATAAGTGAGACCCACGTATGCAGAGAAGGTAAAAATGGGAACGAATACCTTCATAATACAAAAGGTGTATGTATTTAATCCGTTTCGAATATATCTTCGTCGGAAATAAATCTCATGTATTTCCGACGAACATCTGTCACGGTGATCATGGTTCGCTGAAACCTAACACCTGATTTCGTCGCGGTGAAAATAACTCACGCAAAAAGCCCTCACGCGGAGTATACCGGTGAAAGTAACGCGCGAGGGTAACGGGTAACACGAAAGTAACTCGAAAGGGAAAAAAAATAGAAAAAAAACTACAGCAGAACGGAAAACATAAGTATCTCTTACTACTGTAGTTGTAGCAAGTATAAAAATAACAATTCTATATAGAATATATTATTGTAAATATGAATATATAAATACCTGGGAAAGGGATGGACGGATAAATGATTATGTACGAGCACAAATTGATAATTTTTCTGAAAGAAGAAAAAATAAGAGGAGGAGGAAGCACAAGAAAACATGAATAACCTTCCCTTCTTAACAACTTTCCTAGAGCGGAGCGCAGGGCGATTCATGCCGCACCGCGACCCACCTTCCCTCCAATCTTCCCTCCAACCTTCCCTCCCTCCTTCCTTCCCTCACTCACTCACTCAATTGCTCACTCACTCAATCCCTCACTCTCTCTCACTCTTCCTCCTTCCTTCTCCCTACATCTCGCTCCTTCCCATCCCTTTTCCATCCTTTACTCCCTCCCTCCCTTATTCCATCAATTCCTCCCTTACTCCCTCTCCCTCCCTCTCCTATTCCCTCCCTCCTAACTCACCCTCCCTTTCTAAACATCCACCATCGCCAACCCTTCGTCTCACGGCACGAACGCGCGTGAGGTGAAAACACACGCGCCGTCACGCCAACGCCAACGCGGACTCCCAATACGCGCGTGGAAATAGCGCCCGTTGCTGGCTATATCATTATTAGGCGCTGTGCGGGTCCTTCCTTCGCGCGACCGACCGGCGTGGGAGAGAGAGGGAGGACGGGTGGGGGAGGGGGGGAGGAAAGGAGGGAGGGGAGAGAGACAGAAATACAGAGAGAGAGAGAGAAACAGAGACAGAGATCCGACAACGAATAGAACCAACCCCTTCGCCCCCTCTCCTTCCCCCTCCCCCGTTTTTGACCCCACCCTATCCCCCTACACCCACCCACCCTTACCCCTACCCATCCATCCCCCGACCATCCCCCAACCCCCCCTCCCCTCCCCACACACAGACCAAGGGGGCTTTTGAAGGGCACAAGTTGAATTTTACGAGGGCAACTTCGGAGCCCATACTGAGGGCAGGGGGCAGGGGGCAGGGGGCAGGGGGCAGGGGGCAAGGGGAGGGGAGGCAGGGAGGGGAGCAAGGGGGAAACAGCGGTAGGCCTATGGCGGCGCAGAGGTTACGACGGTCTTCTATAAACCTGTAACCGGTAAGGGCCAATGGCTTTCAGGGAAGTGGATCTGGGGCGAGGGGGGTGAGGGGAGGGGAGGGGAGGGGAAGGGGCGTTGCTGGTTGGGAATGAAAAGTGGATAAGGGAGAGAGAGGGAGGAAGAGAGGGATAAAGGACTGACGTACAGAGGAAGGAAGGAGGAAGGAAGAAAGGGAGTAAGAGTTGAGGAAGAGAGGGAGAAAGGAGGGAGGAACAGAGGGAGAAAAGGTTGATAAACAGAGTGAGGAAGGAGGGAGGAACAGAGGGAGAAAAGGTTGATAAACAGAGTGAGGAAGGAGGGAGGAACAGAGGGAGAAAGAGTGGGGGAAAGAAGTGAGGAACAGAGGGAGGAATGAGGGAGGAAAAGAGGGAGAAAGAAGGGAGGAACATAGGGAGGATGGAGGTAGAGAATGGGAGAAAAAGAAAGAGAAATTGAAGAACCACATCTCTTGACAACCAAGACAAACAAAGAGAGAAGGAAGAGATGAGAGATAGAAGGAAAAAGGACAGATGATGAAGGGAGAGGACGAGAATGAGAGGGAGTGGAAAGAGAGAGAGAGAGAGAGAGAGAGAGAGAGAGAGAGAGAGAGAGAGAGAGAGAGAGAGAGAGAGAGAGAGAGAGAGAGAGAGAGAGAGAGAGACAGAGAGACAGAGAGACAGAGAGACAGAGAGACAGAGACAGAGACAGAGACAGAGACAGACACAGACACAGAGAGACAGAGAGACAGAGACAGAGAATCGAATCAAGCTCCCCCAACCCCTTCACCAGCCCCCTTCCCCCCCTCCCTGCACCGCCCGTACCGGAAGGAGACGACCTCCTCCTCAAGCCGTCGCCACCACGCCCACACGCCCGCAAGCCCGTTCAGTCTATTTCACGCGAGCATGGCCGAGACGCGAAGGGAAATTCATGCAAGGTTGGGGGGTGGGGAGAGTTAGGGTGTGGGGGAGAATTAGGGGGTGGAGGAGAGTTAGGGAGATGGGGGGGGGTGTTAATGGGATAGGGGAGAGTCCGAGGGGGTTGAGGAGAGTTGGGGGGGGGGGGAGTGAAGGGGGAGACTGGTCGCTATCGTAGTATTTATATTTATCCCCATCATCATTATCATTATCATATTATCGATATTATCTTTCTCTTCCTGTTCATCACCATCACTATCATCATCATTACAATCATCACTATTTCATCAAGATCACCTCCATCACAATAAAACAAGAAAAAAAGAAGACCAATAACAATAACAATAACAAGACAACAAAAATAATAATTTTCATTATCAAAATTATTCTCACTATCACTATGTCACCATCCAGATCATCAACGCTACCATTCCCATAATCAGTGGCCTTATCATCATCATCATCCTCATAATTCTTCATTATCATTGTGTATACCTTAACCATTATACCTGCTATATATTTGTTTCACTGTTATGATTCATTATCATAATTACCTTCATCAATATATCACTCACCGTCATTACTTTTTTATCATTATTATCACACTCATCATCATCATCACCATCACCCTCATCACCTCATCATCATCGCCATCATCTTAATCACTATTCTTACTACCATTAATCACACCAACAACAGCATTATGCTAAATACCTAAATCACCCTCTCCTCATTCGCACCATCAGTTTCACCATAATTCCCAAAATTATCACCATCATTTTCACCATAATTCCCAACATTATCACCATCATTTTCACCATAATTCCCAACATTATCACCATCGCTTTCACCATAATTCCTAAATCATTCTCACCATCAATTTCACCATAATTCCTAAACCGTTTCTCCCCACCATTTCCACCCTCACTCCCATCCTCATTCTCACCATCAATTTCACCATAATTCCTAAATCATTCTCACCCTCAATTTCACCATAATTCCTAAACCGTTTCTCCCCACCATTTCCACCCTCACTCCCATCCTCATTCTCACCATCAATTTCACCATAATTCCTAAACCGTTTCTCCCCACCATTTCCACCCTCACTCCCATCCTCATTCTCACCATCAATTTCACCATAATTCCTAAACCGTTTCTCCCCACCATTTCCACCCTCACTCCCATCCTCATTCTCACCATCAATTTCACCATAATTCCTAAACCGTTTCTCCCCACCATTTCCACCCTCACTCCCATCCTCATTCTCACCATCAATTTCACCATAATTCCTAAACCGTTTCTCCCCACCATTTCCACCCTCACTCCCATCCTCATTCTCACCATCAATTTCACCATAATTCCCAACATTATCACCATCATTCTCACCCTCAATTTCACCATAATTCCTAAACCGTTTCTCCCCACCATTTCCACCCTCACTCCCATCCTCATTCTCACCATCACTCTCACCATCGCTCTCAACACCTATCCTCATGTCAACTATCCTCCCTTCTTTCAGGGGGGCGAGGCTACTCACTGAAGTCAATGAGGAGTCTGCCGTAGCCCTGGCGTTGGTACGGCGGCAGCGTCATGATGCAAGACACGTTGTAATTCAGAAGACTGTTCTTTTCCTGAAAAAAAGGTAAACAGAAGCACGTGGTTAGGGGGGCGATGCGTCTCACTTGAGAGTCTGGCATTTCAATGATGTACTATGGTTAGGGTTAACGCAATTGCACGTGTGTGTGTATGTGTGTGCGTGTGTATTTATTTACACGTGCATGTAGATGCATGTAGATAGATGGATAGATAGACAGATAAATATACATAGACAGATAGATATACATAGACAGATAATTATACATAGACAGATAAATATACTAAGAAATATATTTTCAGGTAAGTAAAACCAGACAGATGGAGGGATCGATAGATACAGACAGATAGATGAATCGATAGACAGGCAGAGATACAGACCGATCAATAAATCGATAGATAAGTTGACCGCATGACTAATAGACAGAGATCTAATAGCGACAAAACCATACACAATAATTATTTCTGTTTCATATTAGAATATTCAATGGTGACAAACCCATACAGAATAATAATTTATGCCTTACATTAACATATTCAATATTGACAAAACCATTCAGAACAGTAATTTTTTTTTTTTTCAGAGTAGCAATAGAGACCAATATGAACTCATACAGCACTATCTTCATCCTCCCGGTTCTCCGCACGCTGCCCCAGTTTCGCCGCGCCGCCACCGCCACTACCATTTACCCGGTAATCCGCAACGCTTCAACCATGAATTCCCCTACCCCCTGCCCCCCACCCCTGCCCCCCACCCCTGCCCCTGGCCCTACCCATTGCCCCCTGCCCTTACACCCTCCCTATTCCCCCCCTCTCCCCTTATCGTTTCACACCCCTCTCCTCGCCCCCGTTTCACCCCTCCCCCCCTCCCCTTCCCCCCTCTCTTCCCTTTCCACCCCCACCCTCTCCCCTTTCCACCTCTCCTCCTCCCCATACTGCATCCCCCTACCTTCTCCCTTCCCAACCCTATCCGTCCCCCCATTCCACCCCTCCCCCCCTTTACGCCCAATTTCCCCTCCCCCTCCCCCCTTTCCCACTCATATCCACTCCTCCCTACCCCCCCCCCTTCTGATTCCATCCCTCCCCTCCTCCTACCCTTAATCCCCCCCCCCCCCCCCGGCCAAACAGCAACCCTCAACAAGCAAGTAAACGAGCTACCATCTGCTCGCCGCCCGACTCGCACGCCCGTAACGCAGCTGGCACGCCCATGGCCAGCCCACGCGGACACCTGGCTCCGGTTTTCTCGGCACGCCCGCACGCCCGCACGCCCCCTTTTTTCCCCTGAGTGAACCGATCCCTTTGCGCCAAGCCCTGTGTATTATTATCTACTTATATTTATTGATTTGTCCTTTGTCATTATCATTAATATTGTTATAATGATAATAATAATAAATTATTATTATTATTATTATTATTATTATTATTACAATAATAATATTATTAATTAGTAGTAGTAGTTATAGTATGGTTATTATAACTATCTATTATAATTATTAACATTATCATTATAATAACTAGTATTATCGTTATAATTAATATTATCATTATTATTGATTTCATTAACATTATCTTCATTACTGTCATTACCATCACCAATATCACGATCACCATCACCACCATCGTCATCATCATCATCATCACTATCACCATCGTCATCACAATTATCACCACCATCGCCATCATCACTACCATCCTCATCACCATCACCATTGTCATCATCACCACCATCCTCTCACCAACATCACTCATTATAACCACCAAAATAATGTTAAATAACGACATTCTCTTCCCCTCTCTATTTTTCGCTTATCCACGTTCGACTCGTAACTTAATTTCCCTTCCATGTGTTTAATTACCTCTCCTCCGTCTCCTCCTCTCACCCTCTTCCCTCCTTTCTCCTTATCTATTCCCTTTCTACCCTCTTCTCCCTCTCCCCACTTACCACCCCTCTTCCTTCCTTCCCCTCTCTTCTTGTCACTCCCACTCTTCCTTCCCTCCTTTCTACCTTCTCCCTTTCTCTCCCCCTTACCGCTCCCTCTTCCTTCCTCCTCTTTCTCTCCTTCCCTCACTCCTTCGTCCCCTCGTCTTTTTCCCTTTCTTCCCTCTCTAAAGCTTTACCGCTCCTTCTTCCTTTCCCCTTCATCTTCCTTCCCTCCCTTCTTCCCTCCTTGCCTCTCTCTATCCCTATTGCTCACTCTTTCTTCCTCCTCCTTCCTTCCTTCCTCACTCCTGCGTCCTCTCATCCCTTCTTCCCTCTCTCCACTCTTACCACTCCCTCTTCCTTCTCCCTCCTTTTCTTTTTCCCTCCTCCCCTCTTCTCCACCCTTACCGCTCCCCCTTTCACCCTTCGGGCGCCCCATACACAGCGACGGTGTTGCCCGGAGCGCCTCCCCGCCTCCCCGCCTCCCCGCCTCCCCGCCTCCCCGCCTCCCCACCTTCCCTCTTCCCCGACGTCAATAACCCATACGCGGGGCTCTCTCCTGGAATCCCACGTGATGTCTTCGTCGTCTCCTATTTCTTCTTCTTCTCCGCCACTTCCCCGCTTTCCTCGATTTTGATGCCTATTCTCTGTTTTGGGTCTTGGTGTCTCTTCCTTTCCCCCTCCCTATCCCTTTCCCTCTCTCTCTTCCATTCTTTTCTTGTTCTTTTTTGTCTGACCCTCTCTCGTCCTTTTTTTCGTTCTGCATGTTTCTGTCTGTCTGTCTGTCTATCTGTCTATCTGTCTATCTGTCTGTCTGTCTGTCTGTCTGTCTGTCTGTCTGTCTGTCTGTCTGTCTGACTGATGATTGACTGTCTGTCTGACTGATGATTGACTGTCTGTCTGCTTTCCTTACTGCGTGTCGACCTATTCTGCCTACCTGTCTATCGACATACATCTCCAGCATTTCCCGAATTCAAAATCCATTCAAAACTAGATTTCTCCGGTTCTAATCGCCAATAGCCATACGGGGTTATCGAACTTCGTATCGACGGTTGCGATCACCGGAGAAAGATGAGTACAAAAGTACACTACATCCCTTAAGTACACTGCTCTGTTTGCACACCGACCCTCCCTAGCCGATAGCAGGTGAGTCTTAGTCTAGTCTGGGAAATCGCTATGTCAGCTATGACAAAATATATCGGACATACGCAATCTATCCCTCTCTCCTTACACTATCCTCTGTTGCGGACGTTATGTAATATCACTCTGTAAGGACACGGACACACACACACACACGCACCCCATCCTCCCACACAAGCCCCCTCTCTCCCTCCCTCCATCCCCCACAACCTGCCCCCCCCCCCACCTCCAGCAAAGTGCGTTTCCAAATCGCCAGCTCCTCCCTGTTTCAAAAGCTCCAAAGTTCTAAAATAAAACCGAGCGGTCGTTAATCGCGGCGCCACGTGATCGATAGCCGTTAACCCTTGACAAATGACCCACTTGACGCCGTAATGGCATAATGCACTCGCTAATGACCTTATCACTTGATGAGGTTTGGTTACTCTTGGCTAATGACCTCGCCCCTCCACGTAAGAAAATTACCTCCAATATTTACATCTGTCTACTTCGTTTTGCTTTCAGTTTGCAGATAAACAGCAATGAAGACAGTTGGTAATAACAGCAATACAATAATCAATAACCATAATTACGGTCATAACAAGAAAATATGATAGATAGGCAACTAGATAGACAGGTAGCTAGAGAAATAGGTGTATTTATATAAAGATGGATTGATAGATAGATAAATAGATAGATAGACAGATGGGGTAGTTAGATGGATAGATAGATAAATAGATATATATATAAATAAATAGACATGGATACCGATAAAGATATATATAAATATATAAATATATATATATATATATATATATATATATATATATATATATATATATATATATATATAAAAATAAATAAACACGGATACCGATATATATATATATATATATATATATATATATATATATATATATATATATATATATATATATATATACAAAATGCCAAGGATACAGGCGAACAAGAACACACGCAATTCAAAGAAACATAAACACAGCTTTTCACGCACATAAACCCCCATCCCTCCCCCTTGCCAGATGATTTGCCAAGGCGCACACACGCACTCTTACTCCTCCTCCTCCTTCTCCTTCTATTTCTCCTTCTTCTTTTTCTTATTTTCCTCCTCCTCTCCCCCTCCTCCTCTCTCTCCCCCCCCCTCCTCCTCCTCCTCCTCCTCCTCCTCCTCCTCCTCCTCCTCCTCCTCCTCCTCCTCCTCCTCCTCCTCCTCCTCCTCCTCCTCCTCCTCCTCCTCCCCCTCCTCCTCCTCCTGCACAGGTGAGAGAACACCCCTACCCACCCCCTCCCACCGCACCAGTGCCAGGCAATAGCGCCGAGTAAAGTTCAAACGACGCCACTGTACGAATTAGGGAAGGGAAGGTGGGGGTGGGGGAGAGAAGGTGTAGGGGAAATATTGGGGAAAGTGGTAGGGGAAGGGGAAGGGGAAGGGGAAGGGCAAGGGGAAGGGGAAGGGGAAGGGGAAGGGGAAGGGGAAGGGGGAAGGGGAGGGGGGGGGGAAGGTAAGTTGAAAGGGAACAGACGGAAAGACGGACGGAAGAAGGGGAGGGGAGAGGGAGGAGGAGGAGGAAGGGAAAGGACCCACCTGTAGCTTCTCTCTATACCCTCTACCCCACTACTACTTCTTCTTCTTCTTCTTCTTCTTCTTCTTCTTCTTCTTCTTCTTCTTCTTCTTCTTCTTCTTCTTCTTCCTCTTCTTCTTCTTCTTCCTCCTCCTCCTCCTTTCTCCCCTACCCCCTCCCTCCTTCGTTCTCTACTCTTTCCCTTGCCCTTTCATTATTGGGGATTTTATTACTCGTTCAAGATTTGCTGTAATGAATGGTCGACACGTGCGTTTGTGTGTGAGAAGAGGAGGGGGGGTAGAGGGGAGAGAGGGGTGGGGGGAAGGAGGGAAAGGGGAGGCGGGAGGGAAGGGAGGAGTGGAGGTGGAGGGTGGAGGAAGGGAGAAAGAGGGAGGGAAAGGGAAAGTGGAGGAGGAAGGAAA